AATACCTGGTGGCAGCGAAGAAGGAAGAAGAGCGAGAACCTCGTGAAGACCTGGGGAATAGGGGCTTCAGAGGGGATCGCCACATAAGTGGTGACCAGTGGTGGGATATGATTTGATCCAGTAAAACCTAGAAACAGAAAGTTGTCCAGAGCATAAAAATATATGTGTGGTTGTTGAGTAAGTACCTGTATCGATGATTGAAGTGGTGAGGTATGTAATGGAACTAGTAACTGGGTTGCAAAGTTAATGTATAGCCAGCATATAAGATGTTTGATTATTACTTATGTTCAAAGGTGGTAAGTTTTGAGTACAATGTTGTGTAGTGCTTGGTTTACTACATTAAAACTCCTTGTTCATGAGGGTAAAGCACTATAGCTTTTACCCCATGAAACAACTTTGTAAGGGGTGAGGTATGTAGTGAACAGCCCTGCCCTCACCTGTCCATCATAGCTGAACAGTGAAGTAGGAGCCAATGAGAGGACAGAAGGTGGAGCCAAGGGGGGGAGGGGGCTGTATATAAAGGCTGGTGTATGGAGTCTGAGAGGGAGATTCTGGTAGGGAGAGAAAGTGTGAAACTTAAAAGTAAACCTAAAGTGAGTTAGAGGCCTATTAGAACGCTGAATGGAACAGAGAGTTAATAGAGTTTTAAAGTTAAAGTGGAATTGACTTAAATACAAGTGATTAGCAACCTGCAATTTACTTATTTAATATTAATCATATGTTAGCTTCCCTGATCTAATGAATGAGTTAAGTTTCAAAAGTACAAATGTCTCCTTGAATGAATGGTATTGAGACAGCAATACCTGGTGGCAGTGAAGAAGGAAGAAGAGCGAGAACCTTGTGAAGACCTGAGGGAATAGGGGCTTCAGAGGGGATCACCACATGAGTGTTCTGTCATAAGCAAACCTCTTGCAAATTCAAGCCTGTGGCTTCTTTTATGGAGTCAATCCATCTCATATTTGGTCTTTCTCTTTTTGGGCTGCCTTCAGTTTGTCTGTCATTATAGTCTTTTTCCAGTTAGTTTTTCCTTCTCATGATGTGCTCAAAGTATGATAGCCTCAGTTTTGTCATTTGTGTCTTTTAGAGGGAGGTCACACTTGATTTAATCTTGGAACTGCTTATTTGTCTTTCTGGTGGTCCAAGGTATTTGCAAACCTTACTGGACCATAATCCACCCTTCAAAAGCTTTTCCTTCTTGTTGAATTATTTTTAGCATTACCAAAAAAAAAATAAAAAAAAGAATAATGTAGGATTGGAAAGAACATAATCCCTTTAACCTTGCCTCCACACACATCTAGCATAGGTCTTTGTTCTATGTACCTAAGCAAGACAATTTGTCAAAGCTAGGATGCTTTGCAGTTCTTTCTTATCCAGGTCTGAATAAATGACACATCTGAATCCTCACACCGCAATTATTAAATTTCAGTAAATTTGTTCCTTGTCATTATCAGTTCTTTAAAAGAGAATAATTTCTGTTTATTATTGGAAACATATATGTTGCATGCCATTGATTTGTTCCTATTAATGGCTCACTTGTAAAACACCTGTCTTAAGTTAGTAAAATATCTTCAACTGCATAGAAAGAGGGGTTTTTTTGTTTGTTAAATGGCATGTTGAAATAATTATGTCTGTGCTTGTTGAGTTTCCTGTTGTTCACATATTCTTAATTCTGTATGTGTTTAGTCCTGGGTTGGAAATGTTACATAGTGATGGGACCCATCCTGTCTATGTTGTTGTCGTTGTTTACTCATTAAGTTGTGTCTGACTGTTCATGACCCCATGGACCAGAGCACACCAGGCCCTCCTGTTTTCCACTGTCTTTCGTCCTGTCTGTAGAGTACAAAATATGTCATCTTTGCATTTATGTTACCCATCCCTTTAAAACAAATTGACACAAAGGAAATGCCAGTTCAGTTTTGGATGTTTTTCTTTTAAGCAAAAATCAGTGACATAATCCTTAGAAAGTAATGGATTTGTCCAAGTGAGCAGTTGAAGCTTGTACGATGGTTGACACTCCTTGGCTTTAAAGTGTGTGCATCTATTTAATCATTTAGTGTGGAGCTGTTCCCCAATATTCGATAACTTGCTTGCTATAAAAGGTTGAGGGATATTATTTGCAGCTATTCATCAGAATACAATCGAACTGCAAGTGGCACTTTAAGAAAGATAATATTCTTTTCACATTTCCAAATCAATCTTATGTTGCTTGAGTGAACTTTAAACTAAATAGCAATTGGCTTACTCTTCGTTTTTTCTCTCTTTCCCCTTTCCTCAGCCAAATGTTTTCTTTGGCATAATGACAAAGATCTATTCTTCCCCAATTTGCACTTTTTAAAAACCTATTCCTGAGGTAAATCAACAAGAGGACTCAAGAAGGCATTCTTGGATGCTGAAAATAGCTGGTGGTGAACAGATAAGCTAAAAGAGAGGAAGGAGATAAGAATTTATGTTCTTGGCTGTGTTCCTTAACTGTTTCACAGTTGATCCTATGACTTGTTTCATCTCCTCCTTTCTGTAACAGTTTCTCCATCAAACCAGTAATAAACATAGCCTTATTTTACTTGTCACTTGAAGTTGCATGTTTCCAGGAGGCTGGGATCCTCCTGATGTTCGCATAAGGTCTGTGGTGCTGGCTTTAGCTAATTATGGTTAACTGGCAAGAAGCCAGGTTAATAGCTTGTGCATCTCTGTTGCACAATTAGGCACATGAATGTAATGCATCCTTGTAGCTTGCCAGTTAGGTGGAGTTAGCTGCGGTCAGTTACATAAACCTCATGCAGACATTAGTAGGATTCTGGCTATGGTTTGAAATGGTTGCACTTATTTGAAAAAAGAAACTTACTGAGTCACCAGTGGCAAGGGATGGTGGGTGTTGCAGTACATTGATATCTAGATGGTCACACATTCCCCATCCTTGCCATAGAAGTACTGATGCTTTCTTAAAATAGCGGATGCTATTCTTTATTCATTTTCTTGGAAAGCATGATGGTGTTGGTTCTCTCCTCTCAATGAAGAGGCCTTCCCAAGCTATTTATCCTTCTCTGTGTTTTGCTTTGTTTCCTGACTTCTTCCAACAATGCAGTACAGGAGGAAACAGCAAATGGACAGACAAGCTAAGGTATAGCTCAGATGTCTGATTCTTTCATTAGAAAAATTACATACGTTCATCTGCTATCTTTGTCCTTTTGATCTCCTAATCTTCATGCACCTCATCCGCTGTATGATGCTGCTAGTGATGGTTCCTACCATGTGACATCATGTACACTGCAGGAGAAGGCAGAAGAATTAAGGAATCTTCAGCTGGTTGTTGTTTGTGGGGATCTTACAGAAAAGCCCTTCTTGACCCTGGGATGATTATCATTGCCAATGGAGGCCTTGAGAAGGATTAACATGGATTAATATTGTAACTGATTAGAGCTCTGTAAATGAGCTTGCAACGGGGAAAATAGAATCCAATTTGTGCTTTGTAATGACTTCACTTTTCAGTGCTAATAGGGATAGAAATCAGTGTAAATCTTCACTGTAGCTCTTCAGCAAATGGGATTCAGTACCAACACGGAACAGTTTTGCTGCACATTTTGTAAAATTATTTTTTTTCCAAGGAGACGTGCATCTAAAAAGTGCATGCTCATGCACACATGCCCGCCCTGCAACCTTGGATATTTAAAGGGAAGCTGAAATCTTCAGAAGTCTATTTGAAATTATGTGATACAGCCTGAAAATCTTGACCCAGCTACATATATCTGGTCCAGTGGGATGAATAAATCTTTTAAGAAATGACATCTTGTTAAGGTGTAGTGGTCATTATACTAAGGGTTTTTATTTTACAATCAGTATGTATTAATGAAGGAAAAAATAAGATGTCCAATTAGACGTTCGAGTGTGAAATGGAGTAAGTAGACAGGTAGAGGTGTGTGTTAAATACTAAAAGCATAGCGTGTTAAAATCATGGAATTTTATGAGGTCACTAATGGACAGCAGGCAGAATGCCAGGAAAAGAATGGAAGGAAAGAAACAGGAAAAATTTCTGCTATGCAAGAATTAAATGAGCAGGTAACGAGATAAGAAGAAATCACTTGCACATAGATTAATCAGATTTGTATAATCCAGCAAGGAAAAAAATAGTTGTAAAGCAGCAGAGCAGGCAAACATGATGAGGGTAAACTAAAGACGTCTGGATTTTATTGTGAGGTATTTGTCAATAGTTTTGATGAGGACAATTTTAGAGGAATACAGAGAACCAAAATCAGATAGGGCAACTTTTCCCCACCTTGTATTCCCCAGATGTTTTGGTCTGCAGATTCTGTCGATCCCAGCTAACATGGCTAAAGTCATGGGAGATGGAGTAAACCTATCTGGTGGGGATGAACTGTGGAGGATTGTAGCAGGGTTCACAAAATGAATTTGAGGAGACACAGAGGCTCTAAAAAGGTCTTTCCAACCTGAGTGAATTATAAATGTGATTTAATGTAACTTAGAGTAAAATTATACATATCGAAACAAACATATCTAAAAACTCAGATGTCTGATTGTCGATGACTAATAAGGTGAGGGATTTTAAGACTATGAATAATTCCTTGTCATCAGAAAATTTAGCTACCTAAGTGGTCACCCCCATGCTTCTGAGTTCCTCATCCCCATGCTGGTCCTCTTTCTCATTACTATTCCTGTTATTACTATTGCATGTTGTCCCAGTCAGTGTGCAAGAAAAGTAAATTCCATGCAATAGGTATTTAGGAAATATAAAATAGAGGGCTCAGTATCATTATGCCTGAGCCTGAATGTGAATGTACTGAAGCTCACATAGAATATTGCAATTTCCCCCCCTAATTTCTGTGTCTCAAAAAGGAGATTGTAGAAATGGACAACTGTATCAATCAGAGGCCTGGAACATCTGCCTGACAAGGAAAGGTTATGATGTCTGGGATTTCTTAGTTTAGAATGAAACCAAAAGATGGAGATCTATAAAATTGTCCGTACTGTGGAGAAGATTGACAAAGAGGTTTTCTTCTTCATAATACTAGAACCTGTTCCAATGAAGTTGAGTAATCAGAAATTCAGAGTACACAGAATGAAGGTCTGCTTCTTCAGTGATGGCTATATTCTGCTTCCAGGACAAGAGGGAGCCGGCCTCTAAAAACAGTTGCTGAACAATGGAGTGGGGAGGGAATCGGAAAAGTATCCTTGTTTTGATGTTCTCCTTGTAGACTTCCTATATATTTCCAGTTGGCTGCTGTGGAAAACAGGATACAAGATGTAGCATGGTAGGCATTGAATGCAGTGTAATGAAAGGTTTTGTTAAGGACTAAAAAGGAAAGCAAGACATTGAATATGAGTGGTTAAGGTTTTTTTGGGTGGTGGATCAAAGACAATATATCATGCCTGCTCAGTAGAGTGAGTGGTGATATTGTCAAATTATATGATCAGTGATAAAAGTATGGAAGGCTTGTGTGCCAAAAATGAGAAAGGAAATTACTGTAGCTCACACTACAGCCAAAAGGGTTTAGAGTTGAATAAGGTAAATTTCAATGCATGAGATACCATAGGATTGAGAGGGATATTAAACTTAGGGATGGCCAGTCTTCCAAGCTGTCAAGCAAACTTTTTGATGAGGTTGAGTAGTTGGTGGAATCATGGAGATTAAAAGAAACAGATGATGGGGGGTGGCTGCTTTCTTACCCTTGCAGCAGCAATCCAGGAGGAGCAGAAAGGAGGAAAGTGAGGCGACATGTTGGGCAGGTAGGTTTGGAAGTAATAGAGGCACCTAACAGAAAGCAGTAGATAATGTGGGCTAGATAGACTGGACAATGAAGTGGTTCAGTGAAAGAGAGTACTTGACTTTAGCAGAACAGTGAAAGTTGTAAGATACAATGATTGTTGTGGGTTTTTCAGGCTCTTTGGTCGTGTTCTGAAGGTTGTTCTTCCTAACGATTCGCCAGTCTCTGTGGCTGGCCAGCCACGGAGACTGGCGAAATGTTAGGAAGAACAACCTTCAGAACACGACCAAAGAGCCTGAAAAACCCACAACAACCATTAGATCCTGGCCGTGAAAGCCTTCGCGAATACATTATAAGATACACTTTTGTCTCTTTTAGTAATGCAATAACCAGTTCCTATGGGAGGACAGATGTGAAGGACCAACAAGTTGGAAGATCAAGAGCATCATTTGAAAGCACTTCCTCATCAGCTTCTTGATGCTTTCTTGTTGTAGATGCAGACTGCAGACCATCACAAACAGTCACCATACAGGCAATGCCTGTTGGCAATGACTTTTAACAGCTGCTTTAGGCCTAAATTCTATTGCAAAACCCAATTTAAGTAGGGCCATTGAATTATTTCCTCAGTGGTAAGTCAACACTTACAGGCATTGCATTGACTGAATTGAGTTACTGGTGTTGGGACTAGGAGTTGGGTTTATTGAATTCCACTATGATAACTGCTGGCTTGGCAGTGGTTGTATTCAGGGAGGTAATACTTGCTGTTACCTCTGCCAATTAACTATTGATCCTAATACAGCTGAATTGGTGCCATGTCCTATACCAGGCTCTAGGGCAGCTGGGCAAATTGTCCTGTGATAGAGGAAGGTTTTCTGCTAGTAGCTGCAAGGTGAACATCTTCTGCGAGATTGCCAATTTCTGGTTTGGCTAGCTGTCCATGGGCTGTCTGGATTTAGTCGGACAGTGCTGTGCATTTAGTTATGTATCTTTGTTATTTTAAAGCACCTTCAAATGTATTCTGTAGGTAGAAATTCAGTATTTCCCATGCAGTTGCCTGAAACAGCTGCTAGTGCAATTTTAATAATTTACTGAATCTTTAAGTAAGTTGGTATATGTAGCTTCTAATTTGTAAATAGGATGTGCGATAAAGATTATTGGTGCATTGTGGATGAAAGCTATTGCTTGGTTCTTTATAAATTTTAATGAGCAGGTTGCCCCTGAAAATTGTGTTTTGCTATAAATCCTTCTGCAAATATGTGACCATCATTTTCAACAGTATGTGGAAATTTGAAAACCAGAGTATATCTTTCCTTGTTTCTGATGGGTCAATGTGGCAATAACGTTATATGAAAACAATTGGGTTTCTCTAATTCTCTTTCTTTTCTTTCTTTAACAGAACCTGACAAATGAATAATAAATAGATGTCTTCAGTCATTTCCATTTGTGTGTTTCTTTAGGGAAATTAATAATATTAGTGTTCATGGCTCAGTGCTTTTTTGATTTTCTGAGTGAGGAAGGAAACTTTTATAGTTGTTACAGACTAATAATGCCAGACCTTTCAACTTTAAAATCCCTGTGTCTTTAATAATGGCAAAGAGCAGGACATTTCACTTGGCACAGCTTCTTATGGCATACTGCTTGGCAAGATCTTGAAAAGCACTATGCTTCCGCTTCACAATTATTAAGAAAACAAACGTCCTAGTGCTGAAAGATTGGTAACCCTTTTTGTAGATCTTTGGAATAGTTGTCCATAAGGAAACCTTGCTGAAGAGTCTGGAAGAATTACTAGATCATGGAATTTTATTTTATTTTATTTTTTACTTATCTGTATGTCTGCACATGCTGGCTATATAGTTCAGTGAGTTAGGCATCTGGCTGCAGAAAAGGAAATTCGCGACTGTACCTCCATGGAGAAAAACCCACCTGCATAGCCTTGGGTTCTATCTAGAAAATCTTTAGAAGGGTCACCAATTAAGTCACAATCAAGTTGATGGCACATAATTAATTAATGTCTGCACACACCTGTACCAGTCATTTATTATCTTCTGGAAAACAACAAAGCATTTGTCCTCAAGTTAACAAAATACTAGTTTTCTTATGCATGTAGTGATAATTTTTCATTTCTGGAAGTGGCTGTTTATAATGCTAATCCTGTTCAGACAGCATATTCATCTCTAGTGAAAGTGTGTAATGCTTGGGGTTGTATTCTGTCTTCTGGCCTGTCATAGAACTCTTCTCATTCATAACAGTACCAATGTGGGTGAAGCTTATGTTACTCTATGTTAATCACAGGCCAGTATGCATGTCTCAATGGCCATTCCCATGTATGTGTAATCACAACAAATATTTTGCATGAAGGAGGCTTCTTATGTAAGTTTCCTGCAAGTAGTGTAAGAGCAAAGAATATAACCCTGGAACTGAGGGGGAAGGTGGCACGGGTGGAGAAATATGGATATGAGTAACATGGTTTAATTTTAGCTGATGTAATACTGTGTATTGCAATCTCTGCTTTTGTTCATTTTCTATTAATTTTTTTTTAAAAAAGAGCAGACGAGGCCTTTTCCATTCCCCCCCCCAATGCAGCTGTGATGGGGGGGGGGACTGACAGAAAGGCTTCTCCTAGTGATCCTTACTCTCGAGAAGGCTCATAAAGGGAGATGTGGTGCTTGAGATAGCTTGGACCTTATATAGCTTTACAGGTTAGAACCAGCACTTTGAATTTTGCCCAGAAATGGATTGGCAGCCAGTGAGGCTGGTGCAACGGGAGTGGAGGTGATGGTATTATATGATTCATGTGTCTAGTCCCAGTTAGCATTCTACATGTTGTTAGAGCAAAACTGGTTTACCTGCATTAATACAAGCTGAATAGAATAGTAATGTTTTTATTTTAACAATGTTTGACATTTTTAAAGCCAAAAGTAATAAAGGAATCAAGCTATTAGGATGAAAGATACAGCCAAAGAATTGTTAGGCGACAAAAACACTACAATCAAAGTACTATATGTAGTGGAACTCACCGTAAAAGTCTCCAGGTTTTGCAGGCAGGCTGGCATTAATACAGTTTTAATGGACAAAGAATTACTCTGTATGTATTTGCAAGGGCTTTCACGGCCGGGGTCTAGTGGTTGTTGTGGGTTTTTCGGGCTCTTTGGCCGTGTTCTGAAGGTTGTTCTTCCTAACATTTCACCAGTCTCTGTCTTCCTGTCCTCTGAAGATGCCGGCCACAGAGACTGGCGAAACGTTAGGAAGAACAACCTTCAGAACGCGGCCAAAGAGCCCGAAAAACCCACAACAACCAATTACTCTGTACATTGCCCAGTCAGTATGCAGTGTCTC